CCTTATTGACGTGATGACTGCCCCTGCTGGACCTCGCACCCGGGCCCAAGCAGGCTTCATGCCGACCTCCTGCTGCTGCCGCCTCCATGCCCGCTGCAACATGGTGGCTATGTTGTCCCATTTACCTCCTCCATCCTCGTCGTGTGCGCCATGCCATACTGCCCGCGCCCACCTCACTATGGGCGCCTCTGTGACCTCGTATGTAGGCTCCTCCTGCGCAACTGCCAGCTGCAAGGTGAGGCTGCGGGCTCCTCGTCCCCCTGGTAGCAGTCGCCCTGCCTCTCGCCGTAGCTGTCGGAGCTGATGGTCTGGCATGCCCAAGCACTTGCATCCATGCATAACCGAGCGCTTCAGGCCACACTTGTACGCCAAGCCAACACCCCTGGTCATTTTTCGCCCGCCCTTTAGAGCGAGCAGCCTACGACTCCTGACCTTCATGACAGCGTGCCTCTTGCCGCTCTTGGTCTTCACCGCCGTGCCGTGCGTGACGATGTCGACCCCCAAGTACGGACGTGCCCTCGCCACTGGCAAACCTTTGCCCTTGCTGCCCACGAAGAACTTCAAGCCCGGCCTCTCGAAGCCTCGGAAACAGCTGTCAATCGTCTCTCCGAACTCCGTGACTATGTGCCTATGCTGCTGTCGCAGCCGCACGCGCAGGTCGTCCACGTACATCCTCCAGCGCGCCCTCAGTCTTTCGGCCACCAGGCCGTTTACCGTGGACTGAATGACCATCTTCAGGAAGCATACCGAGAACTTGCTACCCGCGATGATGGTGGTGACCGTCTCGGTCTCACTGGACACCGAGTCCCCTACGATGAGGCGCCTGGTCATGGCGAAGTATGAGCACACCACAGCTAGCACCCCTGTGTTGAAATTGAGCTGCTTTCCCGCTTCCCGCAACACGTGCAAGCTGACCTTCTCGAAAACCTTTACCAAGTCCAGAACGGCCGTAACCGTCGCCTGCGTCTCCTCGCTCTGCTCCTCGACATCGTCCATCTCATGGCTGAGCAACACCTCCCAGGCCGCGTCCTCCGCCGCCTTGCCGTAGCTCGTGCAATCCCAGCTCCGATAGTTCTTCTTGGCCCACTCGACCATGTACGGCTCTCGCATAATCTCCCGCACTCTGATGGCAGTGGGCAGGAGCCCGATGACCCTGTCCGTGGTGTAGGTCTTCGGGATCATGAAGAATAGCACAGTGCCCATGTGGATGGGCCAGCGCAGCGTCCGCTCCACCTCCATGTAGAAGTCCAACAGCTTGACGTAAGCCTCGTCCGACGCACCCTGCAACATAGAGGGGTGCCACCTGTCGACTCCAACCCCCGTCTTTTTCCTGAAGGTGCGCGCTGCCTCCTTAAGCTTGTCGACGTCCTGGTCTGTGAAGGGCTCGAGCTTGTCACGTTCTTCGCGCTCCCACGGCCGCTCCACCTTCTGGATCTGTTCGCCGACCCTCCAGACCACGTTCCACTCCTTGAGGGTGTACTCAGCTGCCTCGATGGGGTCCGCCGAGTCCTCCATGGAGCCTGCCCTGCGTGGTCTCCATACTGGTGCAGCCTTGCTCAACTTGTGTAAACCACCCGCTGCTCCTGCTGCCGCCTCCTGCAACCTGTCTGCCCAGCGTGCTCGCCTCTCCTTGAGCAGCTTCTGGTCGTACTCCTTCATCTTGCCCTGGCTCTCCTGCATCCATTGCTGCAGCTTCGCTTCCTGCTGCGCTCCTCGGAGTAGCCCAGCGGCCAGCAGTCCGCACCTGGCCTGCCACCTCCCCTGCTGCTCCTTTGCGTTGAGGTGCTTGGTCCTCTGGTGCGTGATGATGAACTGGTGCTCCTGCGCGATTGCCTCCTCCTGTCGGCGCCTCTGAATGTCGCCAGTTCTCGCCAGCTTGAGCCTCGCGTATGCCCCTTGCAAGCTCTGTAGCGTCCTCGCGAGCCACCTCCACCAAATTGCTTCCCTGGCGGCTGGCGGCGCGTTGGCACCACCGAAACTTAGCGGCTTGATCCTCCATGTCGGCTCCTCGGCCCGCCCTGCTGCGGGGTGGTCGGGTGCCCATTCGAGTCCTCGTGCTGCGAAGGCCTCCTGCTCCAACGTCTGCATGTACTGCCTCCACTCCTGGTTGGCCACCTCCTGCGACCTGAAGCTCGCGATCTCTTGATACTGCGGCGGCGCTGGGGTGCATCCGATGCCCAGCTCTGGCAGCTTCTTTGGCTTCTCCAAAACCCTGACCATTCGCTCCTGCGCCTTGGGCCGGAGTGTTAGCCCCACTGGCTTGTGGGGCGCCGACGGCCACTCCTCCTGCACTCTGACGTACATCACCTGGTTGACGAGGCTGTCCGCCACGATGAAGTAGTCGATCTCGCTCACGCCGTACGCATGTCTGCACGTACCACAGCTGGCCCCTGACGCGACTACCCGCGCCTTGGCCATCTTGACGCTCTCCACCTCCGTCATCTTCTCAGGCGCCACTTGCCCCCAAGAGGCCCCAAGAGACCCCCCAGAGGCACCCAAGGTGCTCCCAGAGGCCCCAAGATGGCCCCAAGAGGCCCCAAGAGGCCCCCAGGAGGCCCCAAAGAGGATTCCGAACGGCCCACAGAGGCCCCCCCGAGGCACCCAAGACGCCGAAAAAACCCTCAGGACGACCCTCTACTCGCCTGGGCGTCGTTTCTGGACGGGCTGGTGGGGATACGCGAAGCGTCTAGAATCGTTGTACTTCCCACACCACCCCTTCTGAAGGCTTCGTTCTAGATGCTTCGCCGCCGACAGTCTCCCCGCAAAGACCTTCTCGCACACAATGCACTGGTTGCTCGTCGTCAGGATGTGGCAGAGGTTTCTGATCTGGTGCGCACTCCGCTGATGGTGGAGCAGTTGGCGTTGCGTGGCGAAACGAGCCCTGCACCTGCGACCTCCCTCCAGCTCCACTCCGCACACATCGATGTTCCTGATCGCGTCGTCGCCCTGCTCCAACCCCAGGTCCAGTGCCTCCTCCTGGCGGGTCCCTGTGCATTTCGTTTCATCTGGTCGCGCCAGCCCACGAGGAGGGATCATCACCGTGTACTTGACCATTAATATAAACCTTGTTATCCTCATCACGGCTCTCCCAAGCCTGGAAACACAAGGTTGCACACGTGACGGCCTCCCGTGCCCCCTGGAATAACTAATCGCCACCAAGATTGCTGGGCTGGCCCGGTGGCGGGACTTGCCGGAGGCAGCTGGATATTCCCCCCCATACCTCCCAATGCCGACACACATGTAAACAAGAAGCTCCGATTCACCGTAATACAGCGAGCTCAATAAAACCTAGCCCATCTGGGCCCAATGAACAAACTATATGTTGTGTGCCTTGGCTGTCACAATACCAAGCTGATCCACAATTCTCTGCCTATGCCGATCCCATCACCACTCCCTCTGGCCAAACTCCAAATGCGTGATTCCTCTTTTTAGCAAAGGGGATGCTTCTGCTGGGGTCTTCCCCCCCGTGAATGAAACAAAAACGGTCAAACGAATATGGGTAACCGTTTGGCGCGTATTCACTGTGTACTGGGATTATGCCTCAGCGTGTTCAATTGTTTTGGGACGACGAGAGCGATAGCTTGCCAGTAAGACGGGTCCGAGATCCCCAAAAACAATGGCGCATTGACACAAGAGGGCTGCCAAACCTGCCGAAACTCGGCCCTGGGCTGTCTTGCAGTCCTCTGCGGCACGATGGACCCCGGCTGAAGCCATGGGGATTAAGGCCAGGCTGGCACTGCCCGCCTGCGTGAAACTGGGAATCGAGGCGTGCGGACGCGGCCCCTCGAAGCGAATCGCATCGGAGAAGGACTATGCACCGTGAGAGAAGGGGAAAAGGGGAAAGCGCGAACGGAAGGTGGGCAAAGGAAGACCAAGGAGGCTGTAGGACGAGGAGGAGGAGGAGTAGGAGGAGGAGGAGGAGGAGGAGGAGGAGGAGGAGGAGGAGGAGGAAACGGAGGAGGAGGAGGAGGAGGAGGAGGAGGAGGAGGAGGAGGAGGAGGAGGAGGAGGAGGAGGAGGAGGAGGAGGAGGAGGAGGAGGGAGGAGGAGGAGGAAACGGAGGAAAGGAGGAGGAGGAGGAGAGGAGGAGGAGGAGGAGGAGGAGGAGAGGAGGAGGAGGAGGGGGAGGAGGATATGGAGGAGGAGGAGGAGGAGGAGGAGGAGGAGGAGGAGGAGAGGGAGGAGGAGGAGGAGGAGGAGGAGAGGAGGAGGAGGAGGAAAACGGAGGTCAAGGAGGAGGAGGAGGAGGAGGAGGAGGAGGAGGAGGAGAGAGAGAAGAGGAGGAGGAGGAGGAGGAGGAGGAGGAGGAGGAGGAGGAGGAAAGGGAAGGAGGAGGAGGAGGAGGAGGAGGAGGAGGAGGAGGAGGAAGAGGAGGAGGTTCGCCGGCGAGGGCGGCGGCCCTCCGGGGGGCGCGCCCCCACTAGTCTGGGGAGCACCGCCGTGGCCTTCCGCCGGCCCTCCGCCGCCGGAGCTGGCGGGGCCGCCCTCGCCTTGCCTCCGCCGGCGTGCCGTCGAGGAGGAGAAGCCAGCTCCTTCGATCCTCGAGGGCGATGCCCCGTTGGTCCCCTGCCTCCCTCACCGAGATGATCGTTTGTTTTCCTTTGGCACTCACCTCGGAAAGGTGCCAGCTGGAGCAGGCAGCTGCGCGGCGCGCGGGTGCAGAGGGGAGGAGGGAGCCAACTGGAGAGTCAGAGAGACACCAGCAGTCTGGAGCGCCCACACGGGCGATTTCGGAAACCCTGGACCCAAAGGCGTTTTCATCTCCTGGGGGCGCATCTTTTACTTCCGCCGCCTTCCGCCGGCGGAAGCGGCCTCGCTCTCCTTCCGCCACCCTTCCGCCGCCTTCCGCGGCGGAAGAGATGTCAACTCCTTCGATCCTCGAGGGCGAGGCCATTTTTGGAACGCCCTACATGTCTCTGCTGAGGAACACGAGAAGCAGAGACGCGAGGGACAGACGCGGAGGGCAGCACGGACAGAGAAACGCGCGCGGCGTCGGGCGGCCTGGAGCCGAACACGGACACGAACCCCTCCATGTACATCGCCGTGGGCATCCCGTTGCAGAAGTTGAGGTCCGAGTCGTCCCCCGCGGCCTCGCCAGAGCCGCCCGAGCCTGGAGGGCTGGGCGCGCGCTCTGGCCAGTCCGTCCGTTAAGGCGGAGCCAGGAGTGGCGGCGCGCAGAGGGGGGGTGAAGGGAGGGGGGAACGCTTCTTATCGGGGGTTGCTAAAGGTGCCCCTGGCCCAAGGTACCCCCAGCTTTTCGCTCCATTTTGGGGCCCCTGGGGCCATCTGGGCCGCGTGAGAGGGTGCTCTGGAGGCCGTGGGGGCCTCCTTGGAAATCCCGGGGGCACCTTGGGTCAGGGGCACTTCTAGCAACACCCGATCTCAGAAGGAGGCCGCTGCTTAGAAGGCGCTGGCCTTACGTCTGTAGGGAAGGCCGCGCCTTCCAAGAAGCAGGGGTGCTTCTAAGAAGCCCTCCCCCTCCCCCTGCCCCCCTCTGCGCGTGGTTGAGGTTGGGCGCGCGCTCCGGGCAGCCCGTCCGTTCAGGCGGAGCCACAAAACACACCGCGACCTACTCTGTAAAACACGACAGCGAAGCGGCGCTACAGCGTCAGACGAAGGATAGCAAGACGGCCGCCGAACTGCGAGGTGGACGGGCCCGTGCGTACCAGGCGGAGCCAGGGCGGGGACAAGCTCGGACTGGAACAAAGCGGGCATCGCGGAGACCCGGCGGTTCTGGAGGCCGCATCCAGCGCCGCGGCCGCTCCAGAAAAAACGCTCTCTCCTGGCCCTAGCCCTGCGCAGTCCGTGGCTGCCGCGTGCGGGAAGCTCCGCGTGCTCTCCTTCGGCATCCCCACGCCGACTTACGTGGTCTGAGCGGGCTCCTTCTGTCTCTTCTCGCGCTCTTTCCCCTGTCGCTGTCGTGCCTCGGTCCGCCTCCGGTGCCCCTCACCGCTTGCTGACAGGCGCCTGACTGCCTTGGACCACCTGGCGCCCGCGGACCTACAAATGTGCGGGAAGCTCAATCAAGCGGGCACGGCGCGATGGATGGTCAGGCACCCGGGCAGCCAGGAGCACGAGCAGAGGGCCGTCTGCAAGAAGACGACCGCCAAGGCCCCAGATGTCGAGTCAAGAGTGGCCGCCGGCCGCTCGCGACAGAGCCGGGCGCCTGGCGACGAGGGGACCCCGAAGTAGCCCCGACAGGCATCGGTCCAAGCCTGGATTGCCCGATGGCCAGCCCAGGCGGAAGCAGGCTGGCCAGAAGTCCGAGGGGAGACGGGCTGCAGGGACGCCTCCTCCGCCGCCCTGCCCTGGCAGCCCCGCCCCGGCCTCGAGGCCCGCGGGCTGCAGCTGCTACGGTGAGGGCATCAAGCACGGACCCATTGGATAAGGACTCCAGGGCCTGGAAGCCAGTGGAAAGCTACTCGCGGAGTGGCCATGGATACGACGGCCGCGTTCGTCGGAGAAGGAACCCTGCAGGGCCCGAAGCCTCCTGGGCACGCTCCTCAGCGAACGCCCCCGCCGTACCCTGTGGCCACGTTCCCCAGGGGGAGGGGGGGGGGTCGGAAGAGGACGAAGGATGACGAGGGGGAGCACGCGGCCCGCCGATCGGGGATCAGACAAGGAGTCCTCCAGTGCCCGAAGCCTCCCGGGCACGCTCCTCCACGGACGCCCCCACCGTGCCTTGTGGCCACGTTCTGCTGCGCCACGGGGTAGCAGGAGAGGGGAATCAGAAGAGGAGGAAGGATGACGAGGGGGAAGGAGGGGAGGAGGGTGAGGGGGAAGGGGGCAGGATGAAGGAGGACGAGGGAGAAGGAGGATGACGAGGGGCGAGGGGGAAGGAGGGAGCAGGCGTTTCGCAAATCGAGGGGGGACGAGAGGCGACGGAGGAGATGGGGGAGGAAAGGGGAACGTGAAGCAACAACAACCCGCGAGGAAACATAGAGCATGAGGATGAACGAAAAGGATGCCATAGAAAAGCAAAAGGAAGAGGATGGGGAGGATGAAACAGGGGCACAGGACGGCGCGCGAAACAACGATCTGCGAGCGGAGCGCGCGGGAGACTCCAGAGCCTCAGAAAGACACGGGGTGAGATGTCGGTCCCCTCTGCGCCTCAAGCAGCAAGACCTTCTGGGCGAAACGAATTCCTCACTCCGCTAGCAGCCGACTGCGCGCGGGCGCACGCTCTCGACGTCGGCGCTGCTTGCAAAAGGCGAGAGCGGGGAACACCCGGGCTCTGGGGCCCGTCTGGGGCCCCAGGACTGCCTGAGGATCGACGTGCCCCCCCCCCCCCCCCCCAAAACGCCGACCAAAACACACTGGCGGGGCTCGGAGACCCCGCGCCCCCAAAGAACTGCCATCTCTTGGGATGAATTTTGAGCCTTCGTCGGAAAAGCCGCCCTCTCTTCACTTCCGCAGGCTTCCGCCGACCTGCCGCCGACCTTCCGCCGAGGAGGAGGAGGAGGAGGAGGAGGAGGAGGAGGAGGAGGAGGAGGAGGAGGAG